AAGCTTAATGGTGATCTTTCACTTTAAAACAAAACACCCATAAACATGATTTATATTTACAACCATATCACCATCACAATATTTTTATAATATTTTTGTATAAATTTTTATGTATGAATATAATTTTTTATTTTTATTTTCACTATCATTTTTTTTTTGTCTATTCACTCACATTTATTACAGTATTATCAAACACCACCATTTATATTTATTACATTATTACTGAATTTTTGTATTTTTGTATTTGGTGAATTGAAAAAAAAAATTACAAAATATTATACTTTTAAGTATATTTAGATTAGATGTATCTAAAAAATAAAAAAATTTGTCAAAATATTAAAAAAAAATTTAGTAAAAATAAAAAAACACTAAAAAGAAAGAAATTCAATTTTTTGTTTGAGTTAAACCAAAGAAGATGATTGTTATTTCTCTTGAAATGACATGTATAGAATATTAGCGTTATTTTATATGTATAAAAGTTAAGGAGCAAATATATCATTTTAATCTGATAGGGGGTAAATGTAATTTTTCAAACGTAGGAGAAAAATTTGTATTAAATAGAAATCTCAAGGGGTGTCAATGTAATTTATCCTAAAATATTTCATCACTAATTTTGTTTTTAAAATTTTAATTTGTTATAATATGCTTGTTTGACATCAACTCATTAGGTGGACAATCAAAACTTAAATATATTATAAAATATGTTTAGTTTTTAAGTTGAGTTGAATAATTTATTAACTCCAAGGGGATTGACTTAGCGGGAGGAGAAGGTAATTAAAAAGCTTACTTCATAGAAGGTTGCATGTTCAAATTTCACAAAAGTCAAATATTCCAAACCTTGAGGCCACCGAACGTTTGTCTGGTCATTAATTTCAAAACCTCGAGATTAGTGAAAGTGCGTGTAATAAAAAAATCAATTTACTTGAATTCAATTCGTGATGAATTTAATTAAAATTCATTTCAAATCAACTCAAAAAGTAAACACACAATACTTAAATGTATTTTTAAACTCATAAAATTTTCATCACAAATGTAAATAACCTACTACTCAGTTCAATTTGAATCATTGAAGAACAATTTAAAATAATTTTCAAGAAACTAAATTATTTGTATAAGTATTCTAAAACAATCTTTAATGTATTGTGCATTATGGACTATGGAGATGATAGGCTACTTTGAGAAATGTTTGGGGACCATTGTATTAAATGTTTCATAGAAAACAACAATATTAAAGTGGGAATGTGGGCTTCAGCCCCCTATCTCCGGTTAGGTCCGCCCATAATTTCAAGTTGGTCCGCTCGAAGTTTTTTAAAGATAGACCAGTAAAAAATAGTAAAATGTAAGATCGTGTTTGTCGCTAGATTTAAATGGGAGATTTACGTGTATATTTTAATAGGTAAAATTATTATTTAATTGATCTTATAAAAATTAATGATGTTTTTATTAAATACTATTAAAAAAATTATTAATTGTTAATTTTTAACGACTGTTTAAAAATTATCACAAAAAAATATTATTAATTATAAGTTTTAATGATAGTTTAAAATAACTGTCATAAAAATATTACTAATTTCGAACTTTTAACAATAGTTTGAAAATTTTGTCATTAATTATAAGTTTTAGCGAAAATTTGTAAAAACCGTGACAGGAAAAAGTTACTAACTGCCAATTTTTAGCGACATATGTAAAAAAATCGTCACAAAAAATTATTTTTAGTAACAATTTTATTAGGATTTATTTACAATAAGAGTTGATAGAAATTAAGGTTAACTATTAAGATCTATCGATAATTTACTTTATTTAAATTATAAAGTTAAAAAAAATTTGGAAAGATGAAAAGAGATAGAAAAAAATTTCACTTATATTTTGTTTACATTTTTGTTGTTCTCTCTCTCTTTCGGAATGTTCACTTCAATTTCGGTGAGATGTCCATGTCTCTCAATTACTTAATAAAAGCAGGGTCAGTGTTGTTCAAATAAAAATTTTCGTTATATAATTGATTGAGAAGGCAGAAGCTCTAGTTTCAGCTATTGGCGCTATTTGGTGCAGTTTATTATAAGTTAAAAGTTGATAATTAGAAAGTAAAAATTAAAAATATTTCTTTCTTAACTTTTAAATATTCAGCTTTTCTCAATTTATTTAAGCTAGTTTTACCTAAAAAACTATAAACAGAAGTTGTACTAAATAATCTGACACGAATTTTAAAACTAAAAGAAGTTATAATCACTCTTTATAATCTACACCAAACACCTCTGTGTACCCACCTTGGGTTCACTTTTTTGTTGATACAAACTGTATAACTTTTATATTTTAGGAATAAATAATGTGATTCAAACATCATTACAATAAATTAAAAATTTTAGAGACAAAAATTTAGGATAGGGATGAAATATATTAGCTGTCAGAATGTTATTATTGTGTTTTTGGTAATAAAATTAGATATTTAGTAATAAATTTTGGGACATTTACACACAGGTTTTAATTTATGAACTTATACTTCTTTAAGTCTTAACTAAGATTTTTGGACCTTCAAGTTTCATTAAATTTTTGATAGTCGAAATTGCCCTTCAAATAATGATTGTTCATCATTTATGATTATATATAAAGAAACATGATAATTTGATATTTATTTTGATTTTGAAAACTTCAAAACATCACTTTTCAAATTGAAAGAAAAAAAAAAAAAAACCTATTAGTTTTTTTTTTGAAAAAATTGAATAATTTTTTTTTGCAAAATCAAAAACTTTATGTCTATAAAGGAGCATGATAATGAAATGTTGATGTGCAAAATTGAAAAATGAAAAAACTGATAATGTTCTCAATTTTAAAACTAGAAAAAACTAATAATCTTCAGTGTGATTGGTTTCAGCTTTCTAAAAACTGAGTTTTTTATTTTTTTTGTTTTTAGTGAATATTTTTAAAATTTTAACTTTTTTTTTTACTTTTTTAGATGCACCTTACTTAAATGTATCTAAAAAGTAAAATATTTGTGAAAAAGTATTTTAAAACATTAATAAATACACCAAAATACAAAAAAAAATATATTGAATTTTCATTTTTTTAAAATATATTTTTAATATTTAGTGAATTTTTTTTTGATTCACGAAAATTAGACTTTTTAAGTGTATTTATGCTAGGTGTCTAAAAATTAAAAAAATTGCTTAAAATATTAAAAAAATTCCGTAAAAATAAAAAAATACAAAAAAAGAAGAAAGTATAATTTTCTGAAAAGAGTTTTTAAAAAACTAGAAACAAACATAGTGATTGGTTTTATTGGATAGTTGAATCAAACCAATAAGTAGAAGGGCAAAAACGTTTAATCTAATGCTCTATTATTTTTTTTTATCAATTAGTGAAACAATTATCTGAAACATTACTATGCAAAAATTGATAATGTTCATAATTTTAAAAATTGGAAAAAACTGATAATATTTTAGATTTTACTAAATATGACTTATTGATTTAAAAAATCTTAGATAGGATTTGAGTTACCGTAACATTTGTAAATAGGAGTTTTAGGTAATTAACTCATGAATTTTTGTACTTTTGGGGACCAAAATTTGTCCAAAAAATTAAATTTTTTGGCACAAAATTATTTTGTCACTAAAAATACATTTATTAGCTATATTTTCAAAATTTTGTCGTTCAATGTATTTTTTTTTTCCTTTTTGAGATGATCTCTAGTGATTATTCTTGTGACAATCGGAATTAGGCTCCTAATATTTTTTGTAACAAGATTTCATAAGATAAAAAAATTTAGTTCATAAAACTCTTACATATTGTAATACATGACGTGGGTAGCAATAACTGAACAATATGACATTTTTATATTTTATTTTATGAATAATCGCTTAAAATTTTTTAACAAGTAAACAGTTTGAATCAACAAAGTGGACTCGAAATAAGTTCATCATGGTACAAAGTGGATCCTCCATTTCAGATAGTAGACTGGGAGAAGTTTCAACGTTGATTGAGAGTATAGCAAAAAAAATGTCATATAATAATCGAAGACTACTGAATATAATCTGTAAGACTTCGATAGACAGTAAAAATTCAATTATCTTAGAGTAATGCTCAATTCCATTTATATATTGACACTTAACACATTACCTTCTAAAATCTCAACACAAAAGTCATGAATTTTATAATTTAAACGAATAACTATTACTTTGGAGTATCATTTGGACTTGCTCTAAAAGTATTAAATAATTTCACACTGCAAATAAATTATGATATGTTATAATGCGTCCTTACCCGTCCAAGCATCTAATTTTTAGTGTTTAACATCTATTAATTTTTTTTTTATATCTAACCCCCCCTCCCCAAAAAAAAAAATGGGGGAGAAAAAAAAAAAAAAAATTCTATCTATACATCCTGTTTGGTAACCATTCTATTTTCAATTTTTAGTTTATATTTACAAAAATTTTAAAAATTATCATAAAAACTTGTTTGATAATTTTTTTAATTTATAAATGGTTGTCTCAATTTATAAATTTGAGGAAAAAATGTAAACTCAAAAAATGAGTTTACGTTTTCAGTTTTCAATTTTTTTTTCAAATAATTTATTTTCAAATAATTTTTTTCAAATATTTTTTTTCAATTAATTTTTTTTTTCAAATAATTTTTTTTTCAAATATTTTTTTAATTAATTTTTTTTCCAATTAAAATTTTTTTCAATCATTATTTTTAATTAATATTTCTTTCAATTATAATGTGTTTGATCTCATTGTCATAAATAATAAAAATAAATATAAACATTTTAGGTCTGAACAAACATATTTTTTAATTTATGTTTTTAAATTTTTTTGAACATTTTGTTCAAATCAAATACATTTATAATTTATGTTTTTCTAAAAATAAATAAAAATCAATTTATAATTTTTTTGTAAATATAAATAAAAAAGATAAACCTTACCAAACGCTACCTTAGTACATATTTCCTACTTCCATTTATTCACTCAACTTAAGTCTTAAAAAAAGGGGGGCTTCAGAACTAGTTCATGTGCCTATATATACTTTCAAGGTCTTCTTTGGCTTTCTCATCCAAAGAACACAATGGCCAGCAAGCTCTTTATCTTCATATTTTTCAGTTCTCTTCCATTTGTTGTTCTTTCTCAATCTTTCAGCACGATTCAATTGCCACAAAATGTAAGAGCTCCGGTGTCTCTCACCTTCGACCCCCTTGGAAAAGCACTTTATGTTGCTGTCTCCGATGGCAGGATTCTCTGGTTGAATTCTAAATTTGGTTTCACAGATTTTGCTTATACTGCACCAACTAGGTAAGCAGTTCTTCTACCAGCACAAAAATTAATTATATAATCAGACACAATCCTAAGGTTATACATGCCTAGGCTTTTTCAACATGTAAATGCAATCATATGAAGCTAGGGTCATGACCCAAAAAAAAAAAAGAAAAAGAAAAAGTGAAGAACTTCAATGTAAACTTTCATGTGGTTTTTTTTTTTGATATGTAAAAATAGAACTTTTATAGATGTGAAAATATAGTAATGCATTCAATTTCATCAACAAAAGAAGCTGCATCATGGCTAAACGAACATACCCCCCATTAAGTTCATTTTAACAATCATATATAATCATGCATATTATTCAAAAGTACATAAACATTAGGAAATAATTTCCACATGAGATGAACAAAAAAGGAAAAACAATTCACAACTCACAAATTCTTTTACATAAGAATGTCTAGAATGTTGTGTTGGCAGTATTACATTCATTCTAACTAGGGTTGGCAAATAGGAAACTTTTTTTTACTAATTTTGCTTTGATTTCTTGTTTAGGACCAAGCAATTGTGTGATGGTACAACTAACCCAGATTTGGGACCTGTATGTGGCAAACCATATAGTCTGAGCTTTAGCAGGAGAGGCGATCTCTACATTGTTGATGCTTATTTTGGGCTCCTAGTAGTTGGACGTAATGGAGGGTTTGCGACCCAACTCGCCACTAGCGCAGAAGGAGTGCCATTTCGCTTCCTTACTGCTTTGGATGTCGACTTACTCACTGAAATTGTTTATTTCACAGACTTCAGCACAACATTCGAGCTAAGGCAAATTCCTCGTTTATCATTTCCATTTCAAACCAGACCTCTTCACCCTAGACTTATTGGTTTTTTTCATTATGTTCATGCAGAAATATAACGCAGCCAGGCGTACCTCCTGATGCAACGGGAAGGTTTATGAAATATGACCCTCGGACGAGGCAGGTCACCGTGTTGCTAAGAGGGCTCTCACGTCCTAGTGGGGTAGCAGTGAGTTTGGATCGATCATTTGTGCTCGTTTCAGAGAATTCTGCGAATAGAATTCTAAAGTATTGGCTAAGAGGCCGTAAAGCGAATACCGCGGAGATCCTTATAAGCCTTCCTGCAGCACCAAACCAAATAAAAAGGAACCCAGTGGGAGATTTTTGGGTGCCAATAAGGGCAGTGGCCAATCAACAACCAACATCGGTTATTATGCCTATAGGTTTAAAGATCAATCGATTTGGAGTAGTGTTGGCAAGTATATCTTTCTCCGCGCAATACTACAATGTTAGTGTCAGTGTGGCGCTAGAGCTTAATCATGCATTGTATACTGGCTCTAGTTTTAATGCTGTTGATTTTGTTGGTGCTTATACGATCTGAAAAGCCATGGTTACCTCAAATGACTAGCTACTAGTATACTACTAAATAAGACATTGCGGCTAGAGATCGACCTTGAATGTTTTTTTTTTTTAAATCTTTGTTAAATAAATGAAAAGTATGGCTGGGGAGAAAAAATTGTGGTTCAATATCCTTGAGCATTCCTTTTTCTGAATTTTGTTTTCCTAAATAATATAAGAATTTGTAACCTCTTCGTCACTTTTATTCATAAAAATTTCTAACATTCTGACTTGGGTAATTATTTAGTAGTCTCCTAGACTTTGAACCACCAATTTTTCAACCAAATTCATTAATATATCATGTCTAATGCAATGGAAAAGGACAAACTACCAAAAAAAAAAAAAATCTCAAAGTTAGACCCATTTAACAAAATAAACTATGAAATTTTAATTTTATCAATTTAAACTCTAATTTTTTTTATTAGTTTTTAATGTAAATCATTAGTGTATTTTTGTTAAGTAAAACCAGCAAAAAATATTATATTTTAGTTATTAAACTCAATATCTAAAATATTTTTTTCATTGAGTTTAATAATAAAATATCATTTTTTTGGTCGATTTTATCTAAAATTTAACCGATTTTAATGATTAAAATAGACAGATGCTTTAAATTAAAAATAAATAAAAATTTAAATTTAAATTGGTAAGATAAAAGATTCAAAATTTATTTTGTTATAAAGATCAAATTTTAAGATTTTTTTTATTGTTATTTTTTGATAATATTTTGACGAATGATCAAATGGAAAATTTGTGGTCCTACCTTTGCTTGTTGGAAGCGAGGTATTCCAATTGCATCTTTAAGCCCACAAATAGGGGTGGGCATGATGGGCCAGGCTCGGTTGGCCCGATTATTCTGTATATAACAAATCGGCCTGGCCCAATGATTGCATCTTACGACCAATCTCTGTTGGACTCTTATTCAATTAAAACAAAGTTTCACAATTGAGTAATGTTAGTAATTTTAAAAATTCTAATACAAAGTTTATTAAATATCTCATATGGGTGTGAGACCCATACAATGTAAGTCTCATGTGAGTTCATACCTATGTGAAATATTTGATAAAATTTTTGAGATCTCTACAATTGCAAATCGAAATACAGAGTAACCAAAGGTGTACAAGAGTCGCAGTGGCATATGCACATGTTCAACTCTTGCAATTCGAAACTTGTGTAACCACAATTTCCTTAAAACATATTTGCCGCTTTCCTAATAGATATTGGAGGTACGTCACCATCAGTCTCTCAAAATACGACGATCAAAACCAGTTAAAGTAGAAACACTTTCTGAATAGTTTCGAAAAACTTTAACAATGGCAACACTCTCTCATACATGATGAATAGTATAGGTAGATTGACAGTATAGCTAGAGAGCAAAATTCTGAGAGGGCAAAACTGATAAAATAAAATCCACGTTAAATATAGAGGTTACACACTATATAGGCATGTGCGTAAATTCGTAAAGTTGGTGGGCCACCAATCCGGCCCAACCCAAATCTTATCTAAGTCCAGCAAGCCTCAAGCCTAAGTATATGATCCATAGACTCGGACAGGGCAAGCATGAGCCCATGGCACTTTTTGCATAACCAACTTAGACCATAATTTTGACCCAAACTCATCATTGAAATATCCATAACTTAATTCTTTCAAAAAATTTAGATGCTCCAAAGGACTCACACCTTATCAAAATCTTAGGATTTAATTAATGTTTTTCTCTATAATTAATGTGGGATAAGTAGTTACACACCTTCCCTAATACCTCATTCATGAGGCCAACTTTATGAGTCAAGTTCTTATTTAAATCTTAATAGTTTTTGATTATTTTTTTTATGGTGTAAAGATCTTATTATAAAGAATTTAAACTCACTTGGACTCACCTCAACCAGTGGTTGAAATCCAATATAATTTTACATTAAAGTGACTAAAAAATTATTTTTTTCCAACAACTATAACCCTTCCAATGCAGTAATAGCTCCTTCGATTATTTTAATTAAAAAGTCAATAAAAAACATTTGAAAAAAAAAAATCAATTCATATGAAAAATTCAAAGATGATACAAAAGTCAACACTTTATTTTTTTACGTTTTTCCTGTAAAAATATTAAAATATTCTTTAATTTCTTTTACATTATATTTTAACTAACAAAAGCACTTCCCAATCAGGTCGTGAATTTCATTGAGAAACAAAACATTCTATTGGCACAGGCTAATTACTTATGATGATTTTTTTTAAATGGTGTTATGTCTTCCTAATAAATTATTTCTATTTTGATTTTTAATGAGATGAGAGAGAGATAGAGAAATGAGTGACGAAGACTAAAAAGTGGGGTCCATTTTCTCTTTAATGAGGTAATGGATCCCATTTCTCACTTCTCATCTTTCCCATCTCTATCTCTCTTCCACCTTTATTAGAGATAAAAATGAGAGTGATATATTAAGGGATACAACACAACTATTTGTTTATTTACTTTTACTTTCTTTCTAAATTTGTTCAATTACTCATGACATTGCAATTACAATAGCATAATTTAAGAAAGATATATATAAGTACATTTTTTCTTTCCAAATTAATGTTCCATTGTAAACCAATCATAATGACATTAAGAGGAAAAATAAACAAAATATTTTGAAAAATATTAGGGATCACAAATGTTTTATCAAATGTCTTAGATGGGTGTGGGACTTACACCATGTGGATCCCACATCTATATGAGACATTTAGTTGAATATTTGAGATCTCTAACATTACTCAAATATTTTAGTGAATCATACCCAGTTATTTAAGGCATTGCAATTATAATATATAATTTTTACTTTCTTTCTTTCAAAATTTAAATCAAATTACACATGAAATTCCAATTATGTGATATATAATTTGAGGAGTACGAAATCTGATAATATTGTTTTCTGTCCAAATTTATGTTCAATTATGATGGGAGAATTTATGTCCAATGATACTATTATTTGTGGCACCTCATGGAAGTTTAAGAGCTTAACATAAAAGTATATAAAATCTTAATGGGTTAATTACACATTTCATTTTTATAGTTTAACTCAAAATTTACTTTGGTTTTTAATTATTTTAATTTAAACAATTTAGTTCTTATATTTTAAGGTCAATTTTAATTTGGTCATTCTATTTAAATTTTTGTTAATTTGTCTATTTGCACACTTTAGAAAATTGACGAGTGTTCTAAACTTGTTATTTTTAAAATGCAAGTTGAATAGAATGATCAAATTAAAACTATATTTAAAATATAGAGACCAAATTATTCAATTTAAAATTATAAAAAATGTAAAATTTAGATCAAACTAGATCGATGAAAAGTATAATTAACCCAATCTTAATTTTTGACCAATTAAAATGAAACAAGTAATGACATATCCACATTACTGGAAATTAAATTTGGGAGTAACGTTTTAAAAGTTTTAAATACTTTCCTATTGCATAATATTTCAGACTCAACAAGTCTGTGTTATTACTGGCACCTCATGAAAGTTCAAGAGTTTAACATAAGATTATATAAAACCTTAATGGGTTCATTACACATTCATTTTTATAATTTAACTCAAAATTTATTTTGGTCCTTATTGTTTTAATTTAAACAATTTAATCCTTACATGTAATGCCCCAAAATAAACCAAACCTTAAGTCCTATCAAATGGGGTCAGCTATATGAATCTTTATTCTCCACGCAGCTTTATCAAAGGCCATTTCGTTAGTCAAATTAAATATATCCATATCTCTATTTACAATGTTAGCCAACGTTAATCACGGCCTACCTGGTCTCCTAATACTTCCATCTACAGTCACTGCATTGCATCTCTTCACTGTTGAATATGGCCAAATCATCTCAATTGATTCTCTCTTAACTTATCTTCTATCGGTGCCACTCTTACACATTCTCGAATATACTCATTCCTAATTCTGTCTTGTCTAGTTTTGCCACACATCCACCTTAACATCCTTATATTTTATCTACATGTTGTTTTTTAGTTACCCAACACTTCGTCGCATACAACATCATGGGTCTAATAGCTGTTCTATAGAACTTACTTTTTAGTCTAGTAGGTATTCGTTTATCGCACAGTATCCTCGACGCACTTCTCCACTTACACCATCCCGCCTTAATCCTATGGGCCACATCCGCATCAATCTCCTCTGCTGTTGTGATAATCGACCTTAAAATAATTATAATAAACCAATCGTAATAATAATTAAATAGCAACATAAATCAAAGTATGATATCCTTCCATTTCATGAAATTCAGTTGTACAAAAGAGATGGCACATGCGAGTATACATTCATAAGTTCTAACCTTGAATCTATAGCATGTGTCAATAACAAAAATAAGAAGTAGAAGTTAAATCGATAATGGAAATGTTATGAAGGCTACAACTTTGCAAGACAATGCTTTGCATCAAAAGTGAGTCTTAAGCTCAATACATATAAAGCCCTAGGCTTGTACAACTATTAAATACCAAATAACAAAACCGAGCCTTCAACTCTATAGTTTTCCCAAGCTAAGTCCTTGGTGGAGGCATCTTACCAACATTTGAAAATGGTTTTCCTATATATGGTGAGCCAAAACCCAGTAGAAATAATCCAACACAATATATAAATTTTAACAAAGATATAAGGGTGAAATGCATATGTGATACTCATGTCAAAACAGTTTACATTTCTTTCTCAAAATCATTCCATGCTCAACTTATATCATAATTCTCAAATCATATTCTTTACCATTAGAAACAAGGGAGAATTCTCAAACCGATACAACCTTTCATGGATATTTCGTCCGCCGGAAACCGTTAAACGGCACCTATGTAAATGTAGTTTATACAAGCACTACTATTGTCATTTTCTGGATATTTTGTCTGCGGGAATCGGTACTCATGTATACGAGCGTTTTTCGGGACTTTCACCTTGGACACACAAGCCAATTTAGTTTGATGACACACACCGTTTTCCAATATTCACCCATTTTCTCAATTTCATATACATATGCAATGTATTAAATGAGCAACAATGTTCAATGCACAAAGATGAGAAAGAAAATAGTTTTAATTCACCTAATCCTCATGTAATTTCTACGACAATCATAGCTATCCTCCACCGATAACCTAAAACAGATATATAAAATCTCTAATACAGATAA